GATTTGTATGTCGATTGATTCGAAAATTTTATAGGATTTTTGAGGTATGTCATACATTATAAATGTTAAATATTTAAATAGCTAAAAATAGAGAAATATGGAAACATTCAAATTTCTCATACATTTTCTTCGACCGCAAGGTGCTCACTCCTAACACAGCCATCAAAAAGTTGGTCCCTAACAACACAAGCCGAAGCCGCATAATCATTCAGCGTTGCACGTTGGATGGGTCAACCTCGAACTTGTTTGCGTGGACATCGTATCATTTTTTCTATTCATTCACCTATATCAGCTAAATATAGAAAAAGGAGGTTATAGAATGATTATCCAAATGCTAGTGATAAACAGGGGTGTTTGTTGTTTTGCACACTGAAAACGAAACTAACTCAGAGAGTAAATTTTTTTTACTCAGTTGTGAGCCACTTTCACTCATTCGTATGAAATTTTATTCAACGCATGAGTAACCTACGCTTTAATAAAAACTATCCATTCGAATCAGTAACAGAGACTCATTCTCTGAGTAACATTCGTTTTCAATGTATTTAGCTTGCCATCTCGGCTATAATTTGGATATTGGATAGGCAAGCTCAGTGTGCAATTTGCATCAAATTCCATGTTTTAACTTGACAGCACGGCCAGAAAGTAGGTTTCTGTATTCAGTGAAGTTATTCGGATTGACAGTGTTTCAAATCGGGTCCTGATTAGCCTCCCAAAGTTACAACTCATTTGGTTAGAAACAGACTTCGCACAAGCCATTTAAAGTTAACATGTAAATTACTATGGGAAATCTCAACTTTTTGTTCATTGCCTTCTAGTCTTTTCCATATCAAGCTGCGAAACAGTTCGATAGCCATTCTTATAGAAAATTTTCTCAGCTACAACTTTGCTAAAGATCGTTTCTATGTAAAACAAAACAGGGAAAAGTTATTAATTATTTAAGAGATTGGTAAACTTATGACATGATCAAGCAGCCGCTCTGTAGGCAACACTGTATTTTACAGTGTGACATAGTAGCCATGATTTTTGTGTCCTATTCAACGCCCCAGAAACACCAATGTTGCCTGCTGAACAGTTGATTGAGCATGATCATAAGACATCAGCATTGATAACTTTCGATCCTTGCATTTAATCAAAAAGTGTCTTGAGCAAAGTTGTAGCTGGGAAAATTTCCTACAAGTACAGTTGAAAGTTTTTGAAGCAGACCGATATGGTGAATTATTAGATAGACATGATCAAAAATCTTGGTTTTACCATAGTAATTCCCATACAAACTTCAAATGGTTTGTGCCATCTCAGTTTCTCACCAAATGGGTTCAAATTTTGAGAGGTTAGTCAGGATCCGATTTAGAATCGTTTAAGTATTGTGGAGCGAAAATTTCAAATTTTGCATCACTCTATTACTCATGCGTGACCAACACTTTTAGAAATGTATCCTTACGAATGAGCAAAAGTTATTACTATCTGAGTTAATTTCGTTTTCTGTGTTTCGACTAGATAGAAGATTGCTATCTCTAGTAATGTTATTCAGATGGATAAGACACAGGGTGACTAGTGAACCGGGAAATTGGGATAAAGCCTGTAATTCTAAATCACCGGGAGAAGTCCGTGATTTTCGAGGATGAACCGGGAAGAAATATACTTCGCTTTGGAAAATAATAATCTTCTCAACTACTTGATTTTCCGGATACAATCACTGTCGCCGCAGCAGCTGTGGAGTTGGCTGCACTGCCGAACATCCGTTAAGGGAACGCCCATTGCTACGGGACAGCAGCATAAACGTCAAACGGATAAAAAGGAACTTGGTTTTGACTATCTAATAGCAAAGGGTGGAAACTAAAGATTGCAAATTGGATCACTACTTAATTGACTAGCCTATTGATCCCAAGCTAATCCATTCCAGTCGAAATTCTAGTACTATACATCTGAAAGAGCTTCATTTTCTGAACACATCGCAATTGTTTTTTTTTTTTCGAACCCATAGACTTTTATCTCGACTTTTTAATCAATATATAAAGCAAAATAATAACATCACTGTTTGACAGTAAACTAACAAATTGACAGCTCGCTCCCATCACGCAGAAAAATTTACCGTCGAAACAAAAATATTTGAGGTAAATTTAAACGTAAACTCAGTTTGTTCTGGCCACAAACATAAACTTGGTTGATTTCAAACGTATTCTGTGTTTGAATTCATTGATTATAATGTTTAAAACAAAAATAATGTTACGTTTATTTTAAAAATATTCGTGTTGAAAATAAACGTGAATATTTTTGATTTATTTGGAAACTATATGCGATCAAAAATTAATATGTTTATTTTAAACATGCTTTTCGAGTTTAAAATAAACAAACATATTTTGAAATTATTTTAGCATTTGAATGCTGCATAAATCAAAATAAAATGGATAGCAAATAAATGGAAATTTCAGCTATTATGGAAAGTCTGTGGATGTTTGGATCCGGGGAGCCGTCGGGGTGGGTGTCCGATCCGATCCAGTTCAGTAAAACCGGTGAAACTTTGTGATATTAGCGTCATTTTTCGTTTCTGACGCTGGTCCTCATACCGGCCTCTTTCTAAGTTTAGTGTTCGGGGATGATCTGTTTTTCTTTCGACGTCGGGTGGATGGTGAGGATGATATGGGGATCGGCATCAGAAACGACGGATTGACGTTAATATTGTGATGTTCCACCGGTTTTGTCGAGCTTGGAACACTTGCTTGCGTTGGTTTCCGGACCCTCTACTTTGGTTTCGCCGCTTGCAGGCCGTTTTCGGTTAAGTTTGCCGAATGTAAACAAGAAGGAAAAAAGGACACGCTAAAAATTGATTACCCAGATTATGTATTGTTGAAATAAACATGCTTTTGAATTTAATTTAAACATACATATTTTTGTTGAAAACGTATTTTTAATTTACTTTGAACTATTCATATTTTTATTTAATAAACATATATATTTTTAACTTAAATGAACAAAATTTGGTTCCGTGATACAAAGTCCCACTGAGGGGCGCTAAGAGTTATCCTCGGAGTTATCTCTACCCTAATAAACAAATACTATAAACGAACGATAACCCGGATGCGTAAACTATTCCACAAATTGTTTGGATGATACTCCGAACACGTCGTTAAGCTCCTTTTTATGGTTATTTTTATTAGGGTATGCTAAGATGATGATTTTTGCTCATGTAATCGCACTTTTTTTAAATAGTGCCAGTGCACCAAAGTTGATGAAATTATGGATTCCAGTTCCATATTTAAGGGGGTATTCCCGATCTTTTTTTTCAAAAAATCAAATTTTTTTTTTCACGTTTTTTTGTACTTTAGACTATATACTTTCATCCCCCCAAGCCGTTTTCCGATCAGCGAATTCGGTGTCCAGGCATAGCTGACTAATGGTAAGAACCCCCAAATGGTTTTAACTAAAGTCAAAACTTTAAACGCGTTTTTCTCGAAACCACATTTTTTTATCGGGCGAAGATTTTTCTCAGAAACTATAAGAGATATTGACTTGAATCTTTGTTCCTTATTAAATTCTTTGGAGCTTCTCCCACTTTCAGCCAAAAATATTAACATTTAACATTGTTTGAAGCACCTTAAAGCTGCAAAAAAGCGGGCTAAAAATCGCCTGTTTTTTCATATGGCCGCCATTTTGTTAATTTGCAAGATTTTTTGCTGCCAACGGGAGAAGCTCCAGAGAATCTTATCAGATTATTAATTTCATCACGAAATCTGTTTCAGATGAAGCCGTTCCAGAGAAAAGTCTTCGCCCGTCCAGGCGTTTGCGGCGAACAGGGGTCTGGTTGCCGCCATTTTGTGACGTCAATAATGTCTTTTTTTATGTCGAAAAAAATTTATTTGTAAACTTTAATGTTCAATAAACAAGAATCCCAAAGAGTTAGGCGCATTACTATTCATTTTCCTTGAAAAAAAATTAATTGAAAAACAGGCCGAAAAAAGGCAAAAGATTGGGAATACCCCCTTAATGCAGATTACGAATATGTCTTCGCTTCAATAGAGATTAGTGACGTTTAACGCACACACACTAACGGGGGTCTATCGCCGTCAGCTAGGTGGCAGCCCTATCTTGTTTGCCTTGCCTTGAAAAGAGCTAACATCGCTGCGGGCCCGCGAATCGTGGGCCCTACTGACAGCTCATAATTTGTAAACAAATAGAAGATTCAAGCCAGAATTTCAAAAAAGGTGTGACTGATATTTTAGATATTCTTAATATTTTTGCTTACATTTTGTGAAAAATAAACTTAGAACTCATAAAATATTATTTTCTGATTTTCTACCACGAAGTCAACCATTTATATGGCATAAAAGGGAAAATAATTTCATTTGATAAAAATAAGACAGTTCAGTCACGCCATTTTTGCAGTTCAGACTTGAATTGTGACGTTTCAGATGTTGGTTTCAATAACATGGCGGCATATCACCCAGCTGATCGCCGTGTATAGTTGTTTATTATATTGCTCGGGTTAACCTCAAAATGTATGTAATTCGTTCTGTCAAAATGAGTTTGACAACTGTTTATTATGTATTTTCCTCGGTTTTTCACTACCACAGTTTCACACAGCGCACCAATACAACCAGGCGTGAAAGTCTCTATACCCCTAAACAATTGTTAACCCAATTTAAAATTTGGTTTAAATCCGTACCGCGTTTTACTTCTTCTACTCGGGTATCTAAAAGTTTAGAGATGTGAGCAGTAATTGCATTGCAATTTAAATATGGTTTCATCGAGGGGTCGTATAATAGTGGAAACAATATTTTCTAAAGGTTAAAAATATGTTGTTTTTTACTACACAATGCTTGAAATAACTATAGGTCACTTTTTATAATTACAGAACAACTGTAATATCACAAATTATAATATTTTAAACCTTTCTACGATCGATTAGACATATTTTTTCATCCGCATATACATTCGCCAACCCCCCGCCAGCTTGGAAAGAAGACCGACTTTGACAGCTCTCCGCAGCAGACGAATTTAGACAGTTTGTGTGTGTTGAAAGGAGTGATGTGGCTTTATAATAAGCAGCGAGAAAAATCATGAAAAACTTAAATTTTGCTTGTTTTGTACATATTTCCTGTTTAGTTTTAGTGTTAACCGTAGCCGGAAGTAGTTCGAAAGAATGCGGCGATAAGGATTGCAAGAGTAAGTGCGATTCTATGGGTGTTTTCCTCTCTGATCCAGATTGAGTACTTTCTCGGTTGGCACTTTCCTTCAACTCGACCAACAGTGCGGGTCGCAAAAAGTGCGACCGCTATCTGCTTGCGGTGCCGACGTTGGAAGAGTGGGTGAAAACTGGGACAGGTGTCTCTCTTGCTGGAGGGGAAGCTCTGTTATGCTTGAGTGCAGTTTTGTTACATTACGGTGTTGTTTGTTTTCAGCTCCGATTGCCAAAGGGTACGTAACGTTGCGCTACATGGGCGGTGGCGGGCAGAAAGTCAATCTGGCCCAAGGTGAAAAGCTGCTGATTCTAGGGAGGAATTTCGGAAAGGATAGAGACTTTCTGGTGCAAAAGGCGGATGGCAAAATAGGATTGGCCAGCACGAAATTCGTCCGGGAGAGTGAGATTCTGGTGCGAACGAAGGATAGGATTGAGATTCCGGATGTAGAGCTGCAAGCGCAAATCGATCCATCGTCTACTACCGAGCAGAACGTGATTGATGGAACAACGATTAACAATGTTCAGTTAACGGAAAAACCAACGATCGAACAAGAACCGGCGCCGGTTGAGGAAAAAACCCCAGATTTAGAGGTCATTCCTACGGGGAGTACTATCAATCAGGAACCAACAGGTCTTCCAACGGTGAATAAGGAAACAGTAGAAACGAATCCGACTGAAGGAAAAGAAACCGCAGCGGTACTAGAAGAAGAAGACGAAGAAGGTGAAGATGACGAGGAAGAAGTCGAAGACGAGGGCGATGAAGGTGAAGATGAAGCTGAAAGTGAAACTGCCGATCAAGAGGTGGGCAGTTCTACAGAGCAACCGGTGGAACGACCTAGTGAAGTTTTAGAAGAAGCAAAAGGAAACATAGTGGAAAATTTAAATCAAGGTGAAGAATCTGTGGAAATTGTGGAAGAAAGTCAAGATAGTTCCGAAACAGCAGATCCTCCAGCGACTGAAGAAAGTATCGCCTCTCCCGAGAATACATCCACAGTCGAACCAACGGCAACGGAAGCTCCTGTAGCTGATGAACCTGCAGTTCCTCCAACCGAAGTTGTGGAAATTACGACTCCAAGTTCTGTAGTGGAGCAGCCCACACAAACAAGTGAACCGGTTGAAGCTCCTACTACTGCTCAAGTCGTCGAAGAAACAACCCCTCCCATAGCTGTTGTTGATCTGAGGGAGGAAATTCCTGTGACGGAGGAACCTGAGCTAATCCCGGAGGCCTCAACCGCAGCAAGCACCAATCAAAATGTGATTGATGAAGCTACCCTAACTCCGGAATCTGCATTACCTCAACCACCACATGGATTACTGAGAGGAGGCCTGGGCAGTCTCCTGTCGCATAGCCATCATCACCATCATCATCACGGCCACGATCACCATCATCATCACGGTCACGATCACCATCATCATAATAATCAGGTGGAAGTAAATGGGAACCAACTGGAACCGGAGAAACATGAACACGAGTTACCGTTCATCGGGGGAATTGGACAAGAGTCGTTGGAAGAACTTCCGGATCGGAAGCCTCTGGAGAAGGAACCGGATTCCACATCCAACGAAGAAACGGTTCAACATCACGGTGAGCAGGAAAAAGGTGAATATAATCATCGGTGGGATTTGTATTGATTGGAATATTATTTAAGGTTCTGTAATTTATTGTAAATAATTTTTGCGCCTCTTCAGTATGCACTTGAATGCAAAACAAACATTTTCTTCACTTCACTTTACACTCGCACACATCTTGCTGCAAAGCGCGTTTCGTTTTGCACCTCAGACGGATGACATTTGAAAAAGAACAAACCAAAAATATTTATAGCATCTTATTATTGTGATCGCTACCTACTTATTTTCGTTGCGAGTAGTGTCGACTTGACTTTCGATTTTTGCAACATTTATCGGACGTTGATTACGACGCAATTGTGTTCCGTGCTTTTCAGTTGCTCCGGTTGCTCCTGAAGACGGATACTGCGATCAGCAGTCCTGCCCTCAGCCGAATCCTGCGCAGCCCTCCCCTCAGCACCAGCACGCCAATGGATTCCACCATTCGATGGTGAAAGATAGTGCCAACGTTATGGAAGAGCAGCAGGAGCCTCTGCAGGATGAGACGATGTCATCCTCCTTCGTGGACAATCAGGAGGAAGAGGAAACGGATTATGCGAAGATGTTCATTGTTGAACTAATCAAGTTGAGTGACTTGATCTTGCTTCTGGGTATAACATCCTTCACGTTGATCGTGTTCTCTCTAGGTCACTATTTGATCAACAAGAACCGCAAAGAGAAGCCGCTTATATATAAGGTAAGAATGCTACAATATCACCTTAGCTATAATTTGACAACCTTCCTTTCGTAGTTGAACATGGTCGAACGGGATTTGATGGCATCGCACAAGGAGAATGCCATGCTCAAGAGCGACCTGTCCGAAACGAAACACAAACTGATCAGCATCGAAAACAATTCATTCGGTTCGAACGATATGGTGATCGCCCTCCGTCACGAACTGGAAGATGCAGAGCAGGCCAAACTCGAACTGCAGGAACAGATCGCTTCCCTGGAAAAGGAGCTGGAGAATGCCGCCGAAGCTGGACTGGAGCTGAACAAAATGGTCGCTGAACTGTTAAATCAAAGTGGAAGTGATTCGATTGCCTTGACGGTGGATGAACTACAGAGGCAACTGAACGAACAACAGCAAACGATCCTTTCGATGAACACGACCTTGGCTGACAAGAGTCGCGAGAACAGTGAACTCCAGATTACCCTCGGCAATCAGTCTGCCAAGTTCCAACAGGACATGGAAGACCTGCAGCAAGCGTTGAACGATATTAAACTGGAGAAGAACAACATGGAGATCGAGCTGAACAATATCAAGAATGGCCAGAGTTCACATCTGGAGACGTTCAGAAAAGAAATGAACGCTGAAATCGCTAAACTGAACAAGGAGGTCAAAACTTACCAAGCGAAGTGGGAGGAGGGAAAGAAGGCTTTGAATTCTGCCGAAGCAAAAGTGGAAGCACTGGAAGATTGCATCAAAGATATTAAGCGGGGCAATACTGGTGGAACCGTCGATGGGCTGATCGTTTCGGCTGAATTGAAGGCACAGGTAGCGGTTCTGAGTAAGGACAAACTCAACCTACAGGACCAATTGCAGGGGGAGATTGTAAGGTTATTTCAATAGAGTTGTAAATGTTGATCTGACACGTGACGTTTTTCACAGGTTGCCCGACAACTGTTGGACGATCATGTTAAGATCATCAACGAGGAGATTTCGTCCTTGAAGAAGGAATTCAGTCAGGCCGAAAAGGATAAGCTGGAAGCTGAAACTCGCCTGGAGGTACTGTCGTCGTACTTTAAAGACAAGGAAACGCAATTGCAGAAGTAAGCTAAGCTGCAGCCATTTTTCGTGGGAAATTTCATGATTGATTGATTGATTGACTTTTCGCAGGGAATTAAGCATCAAGGAAGCCATGTGGATGCAACAGCAGGGAGAAACAACCAGCACTGTCGAGAGGATCCGACTGATGCAGGACGAGATTCAACAGCTAAAGTAAGTCCCCAGTTCGAGCTCTGGAAAGTTTTTTTTAAAGTTTCATAATTCTAAAATCAGTCTAAAAATCTAGGCAAAACGCTATTGAGCTGAATGAGGCAATAATCCGAAGTTTGGGAAGTTAGAGATTGAACTTAGAAATTGTTTAAGGGATCATGAACTTGAAAAATAATCGAGATCAACGACTTAGTGATTTTTAAAAGATTGCGAGCTAAGAAAATCCTTCAAAATTCTGGGACTAGACAAAAGTTCAAGATGCTGACAATTATTTTTTTTTTATTGCGTTTATTCATAAGGCCCCCTTGCCTATTAGGCATTGCTTGGGCCGATGACCATTATTTACAATTAGATCCCTTCCCGCTTTTATTTTTCAAATAAGACGTATTATCACCGACAAACCGACCTGAATGACCATACAAAGTACCATCAAATTTCTAATCAAAGCACAAAACTGACATCTGCCGCCGTGTTCGCGAAAATGTGTATCCTAGCCACGAACACGCATGCAAAATGTATGAGTTGGTTCGTGTCTAATCTATTCCGGTCTAATTATTTTTACCTAGATAAAAACTTCTATGGTTTTGACAGATGGGATCGCTACACATTTGAATCCGCTGTTATGGATTCTCGATCAAGAGTGAAAAAAAAATCCTATGGTTTTGACAGATCGGATCACTGCACATTTAAATCGACCGTTTACGATTTTCGGGCATAAGTCAGAATTAAGTGCCATGTCGGTTTGTCGGTGGTATTACCCCCTATTTGATAAGTTGCATTATTTTCATCTAAACGATCTGTTTGCTGACCAGTCTTCTGGGTGCACTGATCAGCACGAACTTTCTTTTTTTCGTTCTCCGGCGTTTGTTGGTATTTCCAATGAAATCCTTTGTTGCGTTTGATGAGCTGGTGCTAGAGTTTTCGTCGTTGCTTTCAACGTTTGAAGTGTGATGATCCTCGGTTTGATTGTCGGTGTTTCGCTGTTGTTCATCTGCTGAGAACCCGGTGAAAGCATGAGATGATTGACCCGATGTCGCTGGCTGGTTTTGTTCGATATCCATCGATGGGAAATCAGCGAGACTGAATACCCCCTCGGTTGGTGGAGCTGCTGGAGCGGTGACAACATCCAAACATTTCTGTTTAGGATGTGCTGCTCGGTCACAATGGCGGCCGTTTTTGGTTGCTTGTCGTACGTTACCAACGTTGTTTCGTTGTCGACCGTGATGTATGATGGAATGGCGCTTTCGAGTCGCATTCGCAAAACTCGAACACCGCTCAAGAATCCTGGGAAGTAGTGCTTCCATTTCTCATGTCGACTGGAAATCACTGTCCCGCACTTTGCCATGTGGTTCATAACAGTGGCTTGTGGCCATGCCAGAGGAAGGTCACTGCTTCACAATCCACATATACCAGGATTTTGAACTCACTCTTCGTACAGAAAAACGCGTGTTTATAATTCTTTTCATAGCGCAAGACAACTTCATTGTCTATCATCTCAATAAAAACACAATTTCGGACGTTATGAAACTGAATGCATCTATCGTCCGAATATTGAAGCTTAATATTGTTCTCGAAGAATTTTTGCACTTTTCCCGCATTGGGACGAACTGGAAGGACACTGAAGTCAACAACAAGTGTGTTTTACGAACTACACGCATTTAAGCTACAATATTTCACCAAATTAAGCAGATCAGAAAGAGCACACGTCCGATGAATACGAGTAATGGCTGTCGAATGAAATTGTTGACTATTCAATAGAATTTTGATGAGAATTTCAAAAGAATTTATTGTTTAACTGAAGAACTGGAACTATTTAAATAATTGTGATAACATTAACAAAAATAACCATCTTAGCGCCCCTCGGTGGTACTTTGTATGGGAGCGTGTCAAACCGTGAAGTGATTATTTTGCTTTAAATCTTGATTTAAAAATCGAGATGAAAGTAAATGGGATCGAAAAAATATCGTTGTGCTCAAAAAACGAAGCCCTATATTACCAAAATGCGTTTTTGATTTTCACTACTGATGTCATTATCGGTGGTCACCAGTGAGCCCTGTGGGAGGTTAACACTATCTTCTATTGAACCTCTTCTCTAATGTATTTTGTCTTCCGTTCCGATGTCGATGACATTGCTGGGCCCATTATTATTATAAAACAGAAATTGTTACTTGGGTAGTAGTGTTGCTGGTGGTAATTTCGTAGGTTGTGAAAAATGGGTCAATGTGCCAAACGAAAAAAAAATTACTTCAAACGTCGTTTTCTAGCGGATTCAGACTTATCCCATTTTTCCATCCTTCTCATTCAGATCCCAAAACGATAAGCTGCGCGCCGAAATCGAAGCTCAAGCCACTGCCCACAAAGCACAGTACACGGCGCTGGAGACACGATCACACGATGCCTGGCTAGCGGCCCGCCAAGCCGAACGCCGTCTCGAGGAATCCCGCAACGAATCCAGCGCACTGCGGCGTAAACTCACCGCCCTCGGGGATGCCTCTGTCAATAACTCAGTATCCGGTAAGCAAATTCAATTTATCCATCAACTACAAAATAATCCCAACCTAAACCTCCCACATTCTAGATGGTCTCATGCCAAATGTAGTTCCTCCGGCAGACATGAACCTTACTGCCCCATCACCCATCCGAGTAGAATCCCCCAATGCTCCTCCCATGATGGGACTGCCTCCGCCTCCGTTCATGCCTCCTCCGTTTGCACCTCCCTTCATGCCCCCGTTCATGCCTCCGCCGGGTCCGGGAGAGATGCGTCCCGCTCCCCTTGGTCGCCTTATGTCCCCTCCTCCGCCTAACCGATACAGTCCTAGTCTGATCGATAGCCGCGATCGGTACACCCCTGAACGAGGCCGGTACTCTCCGGACAGTCGCTACGATTACTCTGTGATGTCCAACTACGAAACGGAAACCGATTTTAGTCCTCCGCCGTCTCCTCCGCCCCATTCGCGGCGTTCCAATTACGATCGGGAGCGTGATCACCACCGCTCGGATCGGGACCACGACCTCCGGGATCGAGACCGGGATGTACGGGAACGCGACGGGCGCACGAGTGGCAGCGGAGGTGGAGTTGATCGAAGCGGTGGCGCCGGTGGATATCCGAAAGCATTTTCGCCACCCGGCATGAGGACAACTTCCCCGCCCATTCAGGATCCTAGGAATAAAAAATATCAAGGTAGTAGCAATCAATACTCCGATGACGAATTCGATGAGTGGTAGAGAAAACTTGTGCATTGGATTTCGCTTTCGGCTGCCCTGCTACCCTAGAAAGAACCTGAACGTTATTCAATTCACTTAACCCTTAGTTTTTTTTTCGTTGTTAATTTTTTACGCGCTTAGTTAGATGAATTGTTGAAGTGTACATGCAACAACAGGATCCACATTGCCTGCGCCTGCCTTCTTTCACCAACCAACCAATTCATCTTCAACGCATAATACATTACCAATCTACATACGTACAAGCACGTCTTCATTTGCATCACTTTCATTAGTGCAGGGTCCACTTGTGGTGTAGTTTGAAAACGTGTAAAAGGAGACTAGGCTACCAATTTACATAAACACTAGCTAATAATCATCATCAACGTCATTGGCCCGTTGTAGGACAGTATTGAACGATGACGGTAAATATATTAGAACTAATAAAGATTTACGGACGAGACATTAAAACGATCTAACAAATCGGTCTACATGTGTACAAAAGAAACCCACACTTCTCTCCCTGCTTTGCATTCGACAATAGTCAACACTCATTTCGCTTACTAACCACTCCGCGCTGCTTTTCATTTAATTGGTTGCTTCTTGTGTTGAATTTAAGAATTAGTTTAACACATTTTTCAACCCTTATTTCGCTTTGATTTTCTTTTTTGTAGTACACTCCGGCTGCCTAGTTAAATCAACTCATTTCGGTTAGACCAACGACGTGTAGGATCGTCCTTTTGCGCGCCGGCGACCAGCGGGGCCTAACGGGGGATCTTGCTATTTTGTCCGGCACCAATAATTACCAATCATGTCCAGTAGATTTAGTAGAAACCGTGATCAAGGGCCCCCCTTGTGGACTCTGCAGGTGCTGAGGTGCATAAAGCTTTTGGCAATTTTATGCACTCACTTTCAGAAATTCAAACTGATTTTCTTAAAGCTTTGGACGCATAATCTAAATCCTACCTTTTCAAATGTGTTGGGAAGAAAATCTAGGCCGATATTTTAAACAATCCGTCCGAAGGTGTCTTGGTACTTTTGAAGATATTGCTCACTCGAGCTTATTGACTTTTCTGATTCCTAGTATGAAGCCTTATATGGGCAAAAAAGTAGCAGTAAATTTTCAAAACTGTTTATACTTTTGAGAGTTTTTCGTACTGACATTTATTTTTATTTTTTAAACTTATCCCCATAGAAGATAAAAGACAACGGCCGCTCCGTGGTTTGATCCCAGGTCCGAAATGTTGTTGGACGTTGTTTGCTGTCCTGTGATTTTTTTATAATCTTTGATTTCAATGTTCGAGATCGCGAAGTTTTCCATAACTTGCTTCTCGAACGTTTTCAAGTTCAAGTTTTATCAATTTTACAGTTCTTTCAATTTTTAACACTCCCCCTTATTCTGCGAGTCACGTGACTCTCTCTCACCGGTGAGGTAACAATAGTCACCTCGTGTGAGGTGACTCTCCATTTGATTTACATGGAGAGTCACCTCACACGAGGTGACTATTGTCACCTCACCGGTGAGAGAGAGTCACGTGACTCGCAGAATAAGAGGGAATGCAACTGCTGCTGCCGGTTTCAACAACAGCTGAACTGCCTCTCTTCGCATGTCGGTCCCATAGTAGTTTTTGTCAAAACTGAGTTTTTCAAAGCAAATGGTAGCTAATCATCCATATTTTCATAAAACTGAATGAACTCAATAACTTTGTTCTGAAAAAGTTTGGAAAGACAGCTAAATTGGTTGTCTCACCACATAAGAAGCAATGGTACGAATCAAAGTTAAAATGCGATTTTCTCGGCTTGCTGATTTTCGCCAGGGACTGACTTGCGAAGAGCGGCAGTGAAAGCAATCTTTAATATGTTTTCTACAATCTAAAACCTATTATCTCGAATATTTCTCTAACTACGAAAATCTTTAAAATGTCTCCATGATCTAAATTTTAAACTGTTTTCTATAACCCCGGAAGTGACCGAAGTAGACCTAAATCACATACCTAAATGTAGGTACCAATCAAGGTGTCAATATCTCATGAGTTTACTTACTTACTTAACGATCCTGCGCACCTCCAGGGGTGCAAAGGGCCTTTGTGAAAGCTTTTTTTTATATCTTTATTCAGGAGACTTTCAGCCCTGGGCTGGTTTGTCTCCGGACACCTCAGAAGGGAGTATCCCAAAGGGAGAGAAGGTACAGAGTTTTTATTTTACGGAGTTGAATGGAGGATGCGGTTCCAGAGGGGAACTTATTGTGCCTTACTGCTCTATGTTGCTGTAATCTTCTGTGTTTTCTGTTTTGTTTTGAGGACCCCAGCAGAGCCCCACCGGTAGAAGCCGCCAGGAGAGACCTGGCACCCGCTACCGGCAGGGAATGCCGGGCCTAATGTAATAATATATATGGGTTAAACCCTCATGTAGATTCCGGCCTCCTTCGCACATATCAGTTGTGCCTCTGCTACAGGGTCGTTCTGAAGGGCGTCTCGGATGTTGCCCGGGATCCCGTAAAGTTCTCGTGGTCCGTGGAAACAAGGGCAGTTTATTAGAATGTGCTCGACCGTCATTATTGTTCTGCAGGTGTCGCATCTTTTGCGGAAGTTTCTGCCACTGCTGCTCCCCATGTTGTGGGTGATGCGGGTGTGGCCGGTTCTTAACCGGGACAGGAATCTCTGGTCGTTAAACCTTGGGACATCCGTCCAGGGAAAGGTTACCCCTTTGGTCTTCCGGATGAAGAGGTCTCTCCTGGCGAACCATTCTCGGTCCCATGCCGTCCTGAGGGTTGACTTGATCCAAATTTTCAGGTCCTGTCTGGGGACCGAACTGTTGGCGAGTCGGCCATTTCGTCCAATGGCTGCGAGGTGGTCTGCTTCTATGTTTCCGGCAATTCCGCAGTGTCCCGGTATCCACATGAAAGTGGTGCCAGGGGGTTGTGGTTTTGTATGGCCTGAATCCAGGGGTGGTGGGCGGTGGCGGATTCCACCTCCACTTCCGTTCACGAATTTCTGTCTCTATCGGCTTCTGATGGCACAAACGATGAAGCTCGGAATTTGAGATCCAATTGTGGGGCCACCAGGCACGAATTATGTACCGCAGGCATCGGTTGATAAACACATGCAGCTTCTGAGTGTTCTCCGCTGATACACACCATGTTTCACTGGCGTATAACAGCACAGACTTCACGTTCGAGTTAAAAATTCGGATTTTGGTGCGTCGACTGATCTGATTCGCTCTCCATACATTTCGCAAACTGGCAAAAGCAGCCCTCGCCTTCTTAATCCGTGCACCTATGTCGCTCTTGGTGCCGCCGTCCGACGCTATTTGGCTGCCAAGATATTGGAAGCTTTCGACTTTCTCCACTGCCTGTCCAGCTACCGTGAAATTGGAACGGTTTTCCGTGTTGACATCCAACGATTTGGTCTTGTTGACGTTGATGGTGAGACCTGCTTCAGAGGAGCGTTCCAGGTCGTCGAGCGTACTCTGCATGTCAGAGCGCTGTTGTGCTAATAACGTATCATCATCAGCCAAATCGAAGTCGTTGAGATGCTCGATAGTAATAGGCTGCCACAGCAACCCACGATTCGGTACACGGTCAACGGCTCCAACCATGATCTAGTCGATTACGATGAGGAACAGAACAGCGGTGATAATATACATCCTTGCCTCACACCCGCGATTATTCGAATCGGGTCAGATAAAGCTCCGTTGTGCAACACTCTGCATGAGAAAGCCTCGCACTGCGCTTCGATGAGGTTGACGATCTTATCTTGCGTCTCAGAGCGCCCCACAAGTTTTCGTGGTTTAGTCGGTCGAAAGCTTTTTCGTAGTCAATGAATACCAAGTACAGGGACTCTTGGAACTCATTGACCTGCTCCAAGATGATGCGGAGCGTGACAATTAGGCCTATTCTGCGCGGTGTGTGAGGTGAGGTGAAAGTGAGGTGAAAGATGGTGAAGCGACAATTGTCACCTCGGGTGAGGTGACTCTCCATGCAAATCAAATGGACAATTTTAACTTCATTAGTGACAGTGAGTCACCTCACCTCACACGCCGCGCAGAATAGGCCTAAATATGGTCCACACATGATCTTCCAGCACGGAATCCTGCCTGCTGTCGTCGGAGAGTCGCGTCGATCTTCTTCTGTCGCGGTGTCCCAGATATTGACGAATAGTTGACGCAACATTTGTGAGGATAGTATGGGGTCAGCTTTGAGCATCTCTGCTGATATGCGATCGACCCCCGGGGCTTTGTTGGACTTCATACTTCGCATGGCTGCTTCTATCTCCTGCAATGATGGAACTTCAGTGTTGACGCGAGTAACGCGCCTAACCCTTGGCGGATTGATCGTTGAAACTTCGAGAAGTTGTTCAAAGTGCTCAAACCAACGTTTCAACTGGCCAAAGGGGTCGGTGAGCAACTATCCAGTCGCGTCTTTCACAGGCATCCTTGGGTTCTTCCTTGCCCCGCTCAGGCGTCGTGAAACATCATAGAGAAGGCGTACATTGCCAGTTGCTGCGGCTTTCTCCCCTTCATCAGCCAGGGAGTTCACCCACGCTCGCTTGTCCCGGATACAGGAACGCTTAACTTCCCTCTCTAGAGCCGAATACCGCTGACGGGCCTCGTTCTTGGCTCCTCGGGTCCTTGCTCGCTCTATCGCGGCTTTTGCTTCTCTCCGCTCCTCGATCGTCCTCCAGGTTTCATCGGTGATCCACTCCACGTAGCTCACCTAGGTTGTTCTCGCTTGTTACAATAAAGGCATTCTTGATGCTCGTTCACTGTTCTTCTACGCTGCCACCTTCCGAAATATTAGCTGCGCGAGCGTTGAGCTCTTCGACGAACGATCTCTTCACTGCTGGATCTTCCAGTCGGCATGTGTTGAATCGCCGCCCGAGTCTCTCCTTTCGCCGTTGAACCCGCGCAATGCGTAGGCGGATCTCACCGACCAGGAGATGATGGTCAGACGCGATGTCAGCGCTGCGTTTATTCCTAACA